ACAAGGGGAACTAGCACCGGGGGCAGCTTCGAGAGTCTCATCTAACATGATTCCTGCTGACGTGCATGGGGAAATGCTTCCATGCCAAACTGGGTCTCCCGATCTGATCACATTTTTCAAATACCTTTATGTTCTGGACTAGTTAAGGAAAATCCAGCCCTGGAATTTCATCCATGCCAAATCAGATATGAAATAAATACCCTTTGGGCCCTTTTCTCACTTTCTCTGCCATCTCAGGCTGATGACTCCAGGCTGAGCTCTATAAATATCTTCTCGAGTTCATCATCCCTCACTCTACCTTCACTGCCCTTTGAGGGGATAAGATCTTTTATATACATAAGGAAAGACGTTGTCCTGCAATGACCCTAACATGTTCCAGCTTTCCACAGGGCTGTGAGTCATTCCATGATAATGTCATATAACTGAATAATTATATGTATTTTGGATATGCATATGCATATGACTGCTTTGGTAATAGAAGTATGGATGATTCATTGTTTAGCTGAAACATTTAATAACTTAAAGTCATTATTAGCAAATTATTGGCCAAAAATTCTGTGCTGTCCCACTATACCTCGTGTATATGATGATAACGAAGATGATGGAGACCATCCTGGCTAACACTGTGAAACCCCACCTCTACTAAAATACACACAAAAGAATTAGCCAGGCGTGGTGGTGAGTGCCTATAGTCCCAGCTACTTGAGAGGCTGAGGCAGGAGAATGGCGTGACCCTGGGAGGCAGAGCTTGCAGTGAGCTTAGATAGCGCCACTGCACTCCAGCCTGGCTGATGAGTGATTTTTTTTTTTCTCAAAAAAAAAAAAAAAAAAAAAAAAGTAGTTTATAAACAAAGAGTGGCACTGGAAACACAATCAACCCTGTAATGGCAGTAACAAAGAACTTTCATCAAAACTTGGAGAATTCCAACTCTTTGCCCATATGCCTACATACTAGGAACTTTGCAAAATTACTGAGCCTTGCATCAAAGTGCAAATTCTTAACAGAACACTCATTCACAGGCCTCAAAATCTTCAGTAATCTTGCGTTTAGTTTATGAATAAACAAACTTTAATAAACTTTAAAAAGTTGTAGGACTCTATTAAGCTATCTTTAGTTTTATATTAAAATCAAAATTCTATGTAATTTTATGAAATTTTCCCAGAAGCATAAAATGAAGATATGCATTTTGCTTATCAAAATCAGTTTGTGGCCACCATGAGCCAAAGGTCTCTCTTTAGAGAATCAGCAAGACAGACACACTGAGTTCACAGCCAGTGCTAAGTTCACAGCCAGTGATGAGTTCACAGCCAGTGCTGAGTTCGCAGCCAGTGCTGAGTTCGCAGCCAGTGCTGAGCTCACATTCTGGCACATGGGCGACTGCTTCAGTAAACTGGAGCTTTTCCCACTTTGTGTGTTTAAAGCTTAGGTCAAGGGATGGAGACTCCCAGAAGCCTCTATGGCTGTCCACCTCTTCTCTTCCTCAGTCTCCAATATTTTGCAACGTCTAGTATGTTTAAGATCCTTTTTGGGAAACAAAACAAATCAATAAGGCATTTTTCTGCCAACAAGTTATGGACTGCAGTGGCTGTTTCCCACATACACAGTTTATCTTCTTAGAACTAACATCTCCAAGCGAATGAGCCCCTCTGCAAATGCTTTAGGGTATTTTCACTCTAATCTCCCCCCGATTGCTGAACTTTTTTAAAGGAAGAGTTTGGAATTGAAACAGTTAAGTCACAGAGTAGGCAAAAGCAATCGTCAAAGTTTACTTTCCCATTATTAAAAAAGGAAGCAAGATTCCCCAGGGCTCCTGTGCTCTCAGCCTCAGAAATCTAAGCATCAGCATATAAACCTTCCAGGGAACAACACTAAGTAGATTAAGCTGCCACATCAACTGTGATTGATTTAAAATATTTAGGGCTCTGTTATCACATCAACACAATTTCATGTAAATGCCTTAAAGAAAAAAGTCCTTTCAATGGATTTGCTAAAGCAAAAGCCTAACGTGAATGGCAAAGCAATGAACTTTTTATTTTATTAAGAAGATACTAAAAAAGATATTTTAAATCTCCTGGTTATGGATTTTTTAGGGAGATTAGTCCCAGACAATGCCTAGGCTCTTGCAGCCAAAATTCTAGGGGCCCTTTCTCTTAGGGGCGGGGGACACACCTTGGGGTCATTATTATTTGCAATGATCTCTCTTGAATTTTCAGGTCAGATAATTTCTGTTCTGTGGCAGAATGACCACCTGGGTAACATTGCCTTGATACCTATGTCTTCTTTTTTTTTTTTGTTTAAACATCTTTTTTTCCTTTGTGATAAAAATAGTACTAACAAATAATTACAATAATAGTAATAACTACATAATTATTATTTTTATTGTTATAAGAAACAATAGCAGCAACTGTCCCTTGCTGACCATGTCATATGCTGCACGCATTCCACTCAGTCTCACACAGTCCTCAGAAAGTGTAGTGTTTGGGACATTCTTCCCATCTACAGATGAGCGTGTTGAGGTCCATGGAGTGGAAGACCCTTGTCATGTCCCGTGACTGGGCCAGGTCTCCACCCTGGGTCCCTGCAGCTCCACAGCCTTACTTTGAACCACTCATGTTCTGATCTCCAGCCCCTGGGTTCTCTTCCCTATCCAGATCTCGAGCCGATCTTATACCCAAGGAAAAGAGCTGTTAGTGGGATCTCAGATGTCAGGGAGCAAACAGGACCTGGTTTTCTAGTTGCTCCTAGGTATAAGGCCTTTTTCTTCACACAAGGGCAGCATTCAAGGGGCTTTAGAGTCCTCATTGTCAATAGTCTACTGAGTCCAGGGGGCAGGCAAGCCCCAGAGGCTCAGGGATTGCACCCCAGGCAGAGGTGCAGCCCCTCCAGAGTTTCCCTTTGTGCTGCTGCCTGTGCCTCTTCGGTGGAGCTGGGGACATCTTGGGACAAACCATTTCTAGGGCTGTTTCTGCACAGAAAAGGCATAACTACAGAAGACTGTGTTCCCTCTTTCATTCCAGTGGCTTTTCCAGGTGTGGCCAAGGACTCATGTGACAATAAAATCTCAGGGTTGATTCTCCTGGGGCTCAGAAGGAAACTGGACTCTTCAGCATGCTCTGAGCACGGGCAGCCACATCGGAATAAACATGGGGCTTCGAAGGTGACCACACAGGGGAGGCCAGCCTCATGTGGATGCTTGGGTTCCAGTATGTCTGTTAAAGATGAGCTGTTTAGCCCCCAGGACCGTGGCCGTCTCCGGAATACAGACTTAGGGAAAAAGCCCTTGGAAAGGGATTTGAAGGAATATTCTAGACTGATGGAAATGGTCTATGTCTTGACTGGGGCTATATAGCATATACATTCGCCAAACTCATCAAACTGTCCTTATGATGTGCATTTTATTGTGTACAAATTATACCTCCATTTACAAAAATTAAAAATCAAGTCATAGAACTTTATGGCTTCAGTGAAATTATGCTAGGAGGTAACACTAAGCTTGCATATCCATCTGCTTTATAATTTATGATGCGTAATGTCACTAAAATGCAGAATACCAGCCTGAGACATGCACAGTACTGGGAGAAAGTGATACTGGCTTGAGAAAGCACGCAGAATTTCCCTGACCTTCCCTTGACCCAGCCTAGCAGGGTGAGTTATTGCTGTGACCACACGGTCTCAGGCCAGGAGGCTGAGAAGAACTTGGGTTGTTCATCAGCCCCATGCTGGAAAGCATATGCTTACTCTAGCCACATGTGGAATTCTAAAAAGGTAATTATCCTGAACTTGAACAATGACTTTCCCCAATAAATATTCCTTACCCTTGTGTAAACTTGGGCCAATTATTTAACCTCACCATGCCTCATCTGTGAAATAGAACCTTGCTATGAACTGAATGACTGTGTCCCCCGAAATTCATATGTTGAAACCCAAATCCCCAAGGTGATGGGGTTAGGAGGTGGCACTTTTGTAAGGTGATGAGGTCATGAGGGTGTTGCCCCTATGAATGGGATTCATGCCCTTATAAAGAGATAAAGAAATAAAAAAGATTCATGCCCTTATAAAGAGATAAAACAACCAGAGCTCTCTCTACTCTGCCAGGTGAGGACATAAGAAGACAGCCATGTGCAAGTGAGGAAGAGAGCCCTCACCAGACACTGGGTCTGCCAGCACCCTGATCTTGGACTTCCCAGGCTCCAGAGCTGTGAGAAATACATATTCGTTGTTTAAGCTACCTCGTCTGTGGAATTTTGTTACATCTTGTTACAGCAGCCTGAACAAACTAAGACAGAGGGTGGAACGAAGTAACAGAAAACAAAGTGCTTCCAGCAGTGCCTGGCAGCTAATAGCAATCAATACCTGGTTGTTATTGTTATGATGAAGGGTCATGAGCATGGAGACAGGTTATCAAAGTGTAAGAAGAGAGCTTCCCTCTCTGATTTCTAGTTATTTGATAATGTATACGGCATGACTCTTCTGGCGCAAAAGGCAAACCAGGGGTAGAAAATGTCCAGCAAGGTGGAGGTGCTCTCAGCAGCAAGTCACTCTGATGATTTATTTGGAAAGATGTAACTCATTCTTTCTTTTCCAACTGTCCCCTTCCCATGGCAAATGAGGCACTATGTCTTGGATTGGGGTAGACACACGTGCATTTGCAGTCCCTGAGCATTCCTGGAAGTTACCTCCTGATATAATAAATCTCCCATTAATGGGCCTCCTGCCCTTCAGGGATGAATTGCAGGGCCCTGCAAAGTCCAAAGCCAGCACACCTGCCCCAGGTGAGTGTGCAATACTGCAGGCCCCTGACAACAGCCTGATGCTATTCCCCGATGCTGATCAGAGTGATCCTAAAAGCTCCAACAAAATCTTTTAAATTTTGCAGAACCACAAGAAACTGGAGTTTAATTTACAGTTAAAGTCAAAGAAAAAAGAAAAAGAACCCAACTCCAATGTAGCAGCAGCAGCAACCACAAATCTTGCTTTTTTCTCTCCTTGCGCATCTTACCTTCATATAGCCAGTCACTGAGGCCGTTGTAAATCACACCTTCCTTCCCAGTGGAGACCACGCGGATGGCCTGTTTCCCGACATGTGCACAGTAGTAGATATTGTTTTCAAAAATAAATATCTAATTTGGAAAGAGAAAAAAAAAGCATACTATTAAGCAAGGAAGTTGTTATAAATAGGTTGTTCTTAAAAAATCTGAAATCATCAACCCAGTTTTCATTTTCCTTTTGTGCTTATTAGATAGAACAAAGGCAGTCTCAAAATTCTTAGAGGTCTACACACCTCCAACAGAATATATCTGTAAGGATTAATCAGAGGCTGAAATTCCACATTCTTCACCCAATGTTATCACTTACCATGACTGGACAATTTGTAGTCTGATACTTCTAGCTACTTAAAATCTGATATGGTTTGGATTTGTGTCCCCATCCAAATCTCATGTCGAATTGTAATCCCCAATGTTGGAGGCCAAGCCTGGTAGGAGGTGACTGGATCATGGGGGCAGATTTCTCCCTTGCTGTTCTCATGATAGTGAGGGAGTTCTCATGAGATATGGTTGTTTAAAAGTGTGTAGCCCCTCCCCCTGTGCTCTTTTCCTCCTTCTCCAGTTATGTAAGTTGTGCCTGCTTCCCTTCACCTTCTGCCATGATTGAAAGTTTCCCGAGGCCTCCCCAATCATGATTTCTGTATAGCCTGCAGAATCATGAGTCAATTAAACCTCTTTTTAAAATAAATTACCCAGTCTCAGGTAGGTCTTTATAGCAATGTGACAACGAACTACTACAGAAAATTGATACTGAGAATGGGACATTCTTACAAAGATACCTGAAAATGTGGAAGTGACTCTGGAACTTGGTAATAGGCAGAGGTTGGAACAGTTTGGAGGACTCAGAAGAAGACAGAAAGATGAGGGAAAATTTGAAACTTCCTAGAGAATTGTTGGGTGGTTGTGACCAAAATGCTGATAGTAATATAGACACTGAAGTCCAGGCTGAGGCAGTAAGAGGAGAGAAGGAACTTACTAAGAATGGCAGCCAAGGTCACTTTTGTTATGCATGAGCAAATAGATGATTGGAAACTGGAATTTATATTTAAAAAGGGAAGCCAAGCATAAAAATTTGCAGCCTGACTATGTGGTAGAAAAGAAAAATTCGTTTTCTAGGGAGGAATTCAAGCCAGCTACAGAAATTTGCATAAATAAAAAGGAACCACGTGTTAATCACCAAGACAATAGGGAAAATGCCTCCAAGGCATTTCAGAGACCTTCGAGGCAGCCCCTCCCATCACAGGCCTGGAGGCTTAGGAGGAAACAATGGTTTCATGGGCCAGGCTCAGGGCCCCACTTCTCTGTGCAGCCTTGGTGCCCTGAATTGTGCCCACACCAGCTCCAGCCATGGCTAAAAGTGGCCAAGGTACAGCTCAGGCTGTTGCTTCAGAGGGTGCAAGCCCCAAGCCTTGGTAGCTTCCACTTGGGTTAAGCATGTGGGTGTGCAGAGTATGAGAGTTGAGGTTCGGGAGCCTCCACCCAGATTTCAGGATGTATGAAATGCCTGGATATCCAGGCAGAAGTCTGTTGTGGGGTGAAACCCTCATGAAGATCCTCTACTGGGGCAGTGCAGAGGGGAAATGTAGGGTTGGAGTCTTCACACAAGAGACCCCACTGGGGCACTGTCTAGTGGAGCTGTGAGAAGAGGACCACTCTATTCCAGACCCTAGAATGGTAGATCCACTGACAGCTTGCAGCATGCATCTGTAAAAGCCCCAGGCACTCAATGTCACCCTGTGAAAGCAGCCAAGGAAGCTGAACCCTGCAGAGCTACAGGGCAGAGTGGCCCAAGACCATGGGAGCCCACTGTTGTATCAGTGTGCACTGGATATGAGTCATGGAGTAAACGGAGATCATTTTGGAGCTTTAAGATCTAATGACTGCCATGCTGGGTTTCAGACTTGCAAGTGGCCTGCAGCTCCTTTGTTTTGGCCAATTTCTCCCATTTGGAATGGGAGCATTTACCCAATGCCTGTGTCCCCATTGTATTTTGGAAGTAACTATCTTGCTTTTGATTTTACAGGCTTATAGGCAGAAAAAACTTGCCTTGCCTCAGATGAGACTTTGGACTTGGATTTTGGGTTAATGCTGGAATGAGTTAAGACTTTGGGGGATTGTTGGGAAGGCATGATTGTATTTTGAAATGTCAGAAGGACATGAGATCTGGGAGGGGACAGGAGTGGAATGATATGGTTTGGATGTGTGTCCCCACCCAAATCTCATGTCAAATTGTAATCCCCAATATTGGAGGTGGGGCCTGGTGGGAGGTGACTGGATCATGGGGGTAGATTTCCCCCTTGCTCTTCTCATCATAGTGAGTGAATTCTCATGAGATCTGGCTGTTTAAAAGTGTATAGCACCTCCCCCTTCACTCTCTTTCTCTTGCTCCCCCATGTAAGATGTGCCTGCTTCCCCTCTACAATGATAAATTTTTCTGAGGCCTCTCCAGCCATGCTTCCTGTAAAGCAGAACAGTGTGTCAATTAAACCTCTTTTCTTTATAAATTATCCAGTCTCGGGTAGTTCTTTACAGCAATGTAAGAATGGACTAATACAATATCAAATTGGATTACTTTTGCAATCCAATTTTTCCTACCAATTAAGATTGATGGGCTGGGACACTGTAGATCTGGGTTTTATTCATTCAACAACATTCATTAAAAATTATTCAGTGAGCATCTACTCTGCAGTCAGGGGGGATCACAGTGGTAAACAGGCAAGAACTCCAATGCGCCTTTATTCTACTTACAATCTGTAAAGAGGTCAGACTCTAAGCAGGACAATGGTCTGATAGGGAAAAATGTGGAGTTCTGCAAACACAAAACAGAGCTGCCTAACTCAGGCAAAGGGCAGGCAAAGGGCAGGCAAGGCTTTCCTCAGAATGTTATTGAAAACAATTTACTATTGTGATAAAATATACATTACATAAAATTTGCCATTTTAACCATTTTAAGTGTCCAGTTCAGTGAATTAAGTATGCTCATATTTTTGTGCAACCATCACCACCATCCATCTCCAGAACCTTTCCCTCTTCCCAGACTGAAACTCTGTCCCCGTTAAATACTATTGGAACTCCCCATCCCTCCAGCCCCTGGCACCCCTACTCTACTTCCTGTCTCTAGGAGTCTGACAACTCCAGGGACATCATACGAGTGGAATCATGCAGGAGGGGCAAGAGAGGATACTCAGGAGGCCAGGAGCCAGCTCCTGGAGGGTCTGGAAGCCACACTCCGGTGTCCCAAAGGCAATGGGAAGCCCCTGCCAGAGGTGTGAGTTGGAGGCAACATGTTTACACTCGAGTCTCCTGAAGATGAGTATGGAGGCACATGGTGTGGCGAAGAGAAGGGAGCCAGGCTCCAAATGGGAGGATCCTGTTGCTATCATCTGAGGAGCACTAACCATGGAGATGGAGGAGGATCAGCCATTGAGACTATGAGAAGAACCCATTGACCATGGGAAGTGACCTGAGGTCTGGGGTGAAGTTTTGGGATGAGGCAAAGCTGCTCTCAAACTGATCTCTTGGGCCACTGGGTGATAGAGAACCATCTGCAGAGTTGGGGTACACTGGAAGATATTATAATTTTGACCTCGGGCGAGTCACCCCCTCTCTGGGGATGAGGGGGAGATGGTTTATGTTGGTGGTCCTCAGATTTTGATGCATATTACATGGCCTGGGGAGCGTTTGAAAAACCTAATGCACAATCCACCAGCCCAACCCAAAGTCAGAATCTCCAGGAATGGAATCCAGGCATCAGTGTTTTTAAGAAACATCCCAGGTGATTACAATATGCAGCTAAATTTGAGAACCTGTGGCCCAGGAACCACCTCATGTCTCCTGAAGCTCCTAAGCTATAAATTGTCCTACACAATGTATCCTCTGGTGCGTGGATCAATTCTGCCCTGGGTTTTCTGTCTCTAAACTCTCTGCCCACATCCCTATGGGTACCTCACAACCTGATGCAGCCCAGACTGCAAATACTCAGTGTCTACAGAATTCGGGCATGCAGACCAAGAGTGGGGATCAAACCAGCTGTTTTCTTTTAAGAAATTCTAGGAAAAATATTGCAGTGTCATTTAAGAGACTATGGAGAGAAGGTATTTTGCATAATACAGGAAATGGCACGAATATGGAATGTTTTTTACTGAGAATACGAAAAAGGCAGTTTCCCCAGATTGTTCCCACGGAGGGATGGATCTGAAAGCAGCGGCAAGTATTCGTTTTCTGCTCAGCCCTCCTGGCTCTTCAAGGATTCACTTCAGCCAGAAATGAGTTGGAAAACTTCCAGAAACAAGTATACATCCTCATTTAATTTCAGCAGCTGTTCTTATGAGTTTGCCTAAGGGTAAGATGTATTACTAAGTTTTAGCTTTTTTTTTTTTTTAAATAAATGTGTTGTAAGCCTACAATGGATTTTTGAATCAAATCAGACCACAGCCAATTATTATTTTCAGTTAGTAAAGTTTGCTATGATGGATATTAAATCCTTTTTGGTTTTTTGCTTTGGTTTTATTTCTAATGGAAGGAAAATGAAAGAACAAGCTATAAAGAAGAGTGCATCTTGCTTTGAAGATCTTTCACATTTTCCTTTTTTTTTGAGACAGAGAGAGTCTCGCTCTGTCACCCAGACTGGAGTGCAGTGGCTCAATCTCAGCTCACTGTAAACCTGTTTCCTGGGCTCAAGCAATCCTCCCATCGACCCTCCCAGGTAGCTGAGACTATAGGTGCCGGCCACCACTCCCATCTAGTTTTTGTATTTTTTGTAGATGGGGTTTTGCCATGTTGCCCAGGCTGGTCTCAAACTCACCTGAGGCATTGAGCTCAAGTGATCCACCCACCTCAGCCCCGCAAAGTGCTGGGATTACAGCGTAAGTCACTGTGCCTCACATTCTCCTTTTGATATTCAGATTAAGATATCTGAGGAAAAGATGACGGAAGGCATCAAGTTCTGCCTGTGGTTTTGCGATGCTAACCCCCAGGAGGCTGAGAAATCCTGGGTGCTGAGATCAAATACTGGGGTGAGTGCCTGAATTTTTACTTTTTATCCACCATGTGCATGGCTGGCAGAGCGCTCAGGC